GGCCAGAAACAGATGCAGTGCTAGCAAAATGAAAATTAGCAAAATCTTAAAATTTTACAATGCCACCGACTGCATGGTATTGTGGGAGACTCTCCTCCCAAGAATGCAGGGAACAATACTGTTTTAATCTACATGCCAAGACACAGACCATTGTAATTTTAGCCATTTCAGCAATGGTAAACATAATCTAACAGCACTTCCTTGAACCAGATCCCAGAATTTTAAGTCAACTTCTACATCTCTTAGTCATGCATCACCAAAAACTATATATCTATTAACTCTGCTGGGTACTTAGCATGAGGGCATGCTCCTCCTGTAGCCACTTAGTGTGGTTAATGAGTGTACTAAGACAAACTTTATAAACATAATTAAAATACTTTTGCATGAGTAGATTTCACTATAAATTGTACTAAACTTCCTGCTTAAGTCCTACTTACTTAACTCATCAAATATGAAGATTGAAAGGCTATGTAAAATCTGTGCACACTCAAAACACTAGTAAATACATACTTGAGAGTACAGAACCATGAACTGCACAGGATGTACTCAGAAAAATGGTACGGCATAGCCCTAAAACTTGTTACTTGAGAAAAAAAATCTTTTACTTTTCTATGTCTTGCAAATTGAAAAGAAATAATACATTCAGAAAAACAAACTGTAACCTGGAAACTATATTAAAATGGAAGCTCAAACTGAACTTTTTCTATGAACTGATTTCTGATCCTATTAGACTCATCTTCATTTTTTTATACATCAGGTCAATGAGATCCACTTAAAATTCAGATGTAGCATTGTTGATTTACAAATTAAATTAAAATTGCTGTTTCCTTGAAGGGCCATGAAACCGAGAAAGAATCATCCAAAATGTTCTGCAGATTATTCCAGTTAACATGGAAAAGCTTATCGATTTGTAATGATAATGAGATTGGTATCTGAAACCACTTGAGTGTTTGTTTACAGAGACTTACTGAACCAGTCAGATAAACTTCATACCTCATACATGTCTGTAAAAGGGGTAGCAAAGACTACACAAATGAAAACAATGTGACTTCTCCTGGATAGTAACAATGTATCTGTAATAAATCTAAATAAATCATCCTCACCAAGCCTGCAGTATTTTTGTAGAACATTTTGCTTAGCAAAATCAAATGTCTCTCAAAAGACAAAACACAGAAGCAAAGAAGCAGGAAAGCCAAACACAGTACACTATCACAACTCAGCCTCAAATGGTCCCACAACACAAGAGAATGCATAAAAGGACTTGAAACCAAGTGCTGCTTTTAGGAAAAAAAATTCTAGCAAGACTTTCCAAGAGAATTTGCTGATGACACTTTTCTCCTTGTGCTGTCACACAGGAAATTTCTCAAACACAATACATAGACTTCCAATGCATCCTTCCTTCCTAATTTATTCCCATACAATGTCAAGAAACCAACATGAATCCAAAACAAGAAACCAAACTTCTCATGTTGCATTGTTTTGTTAGGCAAGTTCTAGTACAGTATCTCTGACATGTTTCCAGCTAAATTGCTACTACACAAGTAGACAAAATCACCTAGGTTGGAATAATAAAGTCTAACTGTTAGCATAGGTGAGACAGACTTGCTTCACCCTAAATAATAGAGACAACACCCTAAAAATACCACAGGAGACAGAAGAAGCACAAGAAAACTGTTTTCCTCGAGGCAATCGCAATCCTTTCAAAAAGTCATCCGCATACAGAATGAAACACAAAAATACAATTAAGTTCAGCATGGCAAATATGAAACACAAAACTGAGTATCTGTCTTTAAGAATGAACTTTCATGCAGTCAGATATATAGGGGGGTACTTCATATATATAATAGAAGTTGGACCAAAGGAAGAATAATGATGCAGTGGCCAGAATGTCAGCAATGAAGTTGCAACCATGACAAGGTGTCTCAACACTTAAAGATGCTTCCATCTTTGTTATAAAATTATTTGAGTAATAGTTTGTAGTGGCTAAAAGTATCTTTTTGTGCTATCTCTCCTGTCATAGCACTGATGAAAGGGGTATGGAGATATGGAGGATATGTAGGGTATTTTTTGATAGTTTTAGAAACATATAAAGCTTTAAGGAAAGCCCATTTTTTGTGATGAAGGATGGTGCAGAATGCGAAGTTTGTACCAGAAACAGAATCAGTACAGAAATATTTTACAGCAACACAAAGCTACTTAATTGGCTCTGCTGAGATATAGGACTAACTGGCATGGAAGATGTTGAAGCTGCACCATCTTCTGAGCTCAGATCTCTCCAAAGAGCATTGCACTGGATGTGCCATTTCATCTGGTACTACTCTGCCAGAGTGTCTGTCAGAGTGATGAACTGGGTAACATAAAAATGCTCTTCGTTTACCCTCCTCTCACAGCTGTGACAACCTTCATACTTCAATTCAGCCTTCATACTACAATTAATCATGACACATGCTTGCTTGAAAAGCTCTATGGCCTTTTCACTCTTCCCTTCAGTAGCTAATGAAACAGTGCTCTTTTTCCCATGTTTCTTGATGCCCCTTTGGTATGCAGTCATCAGGACTCATATGAGGACATACCATCATTGTATCTGTAAATGTATAGGCAGATTAGGGGTCATGGGTGAATAGATCACTGCCAAGATCTATTAGACAGCTGCTCACACTAGCACTCTTCAGCTTTGGATTGAGACACAATTTTTCTAACTCTCCACGTAAGAGGCATTAAGAGGTGAGATTCCATGGCCCAGACAGAACACACCAGCCCTGGAATGCATTGTTAAGGGAAAGCACACCCTGGTGCATGCCACCATCTCTCCGGTGGGAGCACTAGAGCCTATCAGTCCCACTGATCCTGGGCAAGCTGTAGTCTTTATCGTTCCAGCTGCTTTGTTGAGGATACCACAAGCATTCCTCTCACCCTACCTTCATGCTTTCCTGTTTGACCAAATTCTCAAAGGAATTACTTTTTCCAAGCATGTTCTTGCAGATCTTAAACAGACTGATATAACACTGTATTTGATTCTGCATTGTTGAAATGGGTGTCAGGTCAGCAGAATAAAATAAAGCAGAATTTTTCTCTTTGGAAAGGGAAAAATATATATATCTGGGGTGTTTATAACAGGAATTAATCCACTAAGCATTTCCAAAAAAAACCAAAAAAACAAAAACACAAAAAACAAAAAAACACCCCACACAGAAAAGACCAAGATGTGTGTGTTGAACTAAAGGAGAGTAAGAGGGGAGAAAGGAAGAGAAACTGAAGAAAAAGTGTGTAAGTACAGTATGCTAACTTCAGGTTCCTGAATTTAAACTGCAGCACAAATTAAACATTGACTGAAAACCAAATGAAATGCACAGTTAAAACACCTGTTGATCAAGCAGTCAATAAGCTGGTAGTAGTACATGGATTGGGTGACCCGGGTAGCCCAAAGAAAGCTTAAATGTCTCAGAGACTCTCCCATGTTGTCAGCTTTGCTCTCCTTGAGGGAAACAGTCAGACTCAAAAATTCAGCACCTAAAATTTATTATATATGCCACTAGTTTCACCAAAATAATTACCCTGACACATAGCTGTAGTTGATCTGACATTGAAATGTAAGTAAAAACAGGTTTTAATCTATTCCACATTTTTAACCTGGAAATATCAGGTATCCTGAAGCTTTGCCACTTTGCTTTAAAAAGTTTTATGAAGGTCTTCAGAAAGGGACCACTTCATGTACTTCAGTGGTGACATATTACAGAAAAATTGCTAAAATTAACAGAAACACTCATTGCAATGTTATGAAGGAAAAGCAATTGTCCTCACTTCAAGGGAGCTCAAGACAGAACTTGAGTTTTCCCACCACTTGTCTCCTCCCCACAAAGAAAACCTCTGCTTTAGTTATTTGCATTATACTTGACACATCTACAACTTCAAACTTGCACAATACAGAGCTGGTATGCATGTATCCAAGAATGTCTTTTGCTGGAGCCACCACCTTCCTAAATATCAGGATGTACAAATGTCAACAGTGGAATATCTGATTTTCTGAGTCACAGAATTACTGTTTTAGAACATTATTACTACCACTACAGACAGTAGGCAAGCTCACATGGACTGACTCTGGTGTACAATCTTAACAGTTGCAGTAATGGAAAGCCTTAAACTAGCTCAGAGAAAAACAGTAAGCATGTCATCATAGAACTTTAAATTGCTATTGATTCTTCAGAATATCACTCTACCAAAAGAATTGTATTCCAGGAAGAATATTTTTTTAAGTCCCTTTTTATTAATTTCTTCAGATTTAGGCTACCAGTCTGCCTGTTACAACACTGACAGTGCCCAGCTCGATGTGAGCACAAGGGTGGAGTATGAACATTATCAGAATATGGTCTGAGTTATTTCATTGTATCAAACCAACACAAGGCCTGATGAAACTTTGTAATGCCTGGGCAAAACCACAACACTGTATGATAACATCAGAGTAAACCTTAAAAATACTGGGATGTTTTAGAGACTACTAGAAGTTCACCTTATCTTGGTAGAAACCTGTCATGCTCACAAGCTGGAAATAGAGAGATGCAAGATACAATGCTTGTACTGTCTAATTCATGCAGAGGTTTTCAGAAGTGTTCTTGTCAGTCTCCCCAGACACTTTTTTCCTCCTCCAAACTGCAATTTTCTGACAAATATTTTTAGCCTGTATTTCTTATCCTAGTCTTGATTTTGAAAGATTCTGCACATGCATAATGAATATAAAAACTGTAATTTTGCAACAGCATGTATAATCTCAATACACAAAGTAGTTTTCCTCTCCATTCCACAGATCCAATGTGACTGTGTTCAATTTAGTTTATGTATTTGTTCCCATTCTTTAGTTATTTTTTAGAACCTTTGCTATTATAAAGTTCTTTGCACCCAGGCGATGAGACCAAGCACTGATTTGAAGTAGATGAATGGAGAAATTCAGAGATGTATAATTGCTGCAGGAAAGGAAAGAAAGGAAAATGTACTCAAATACTCACTTTGATGAATCTATGAAGTATATTACAAGAGCACCAATACTAAGAGCGAAGACTAAGACAACCTACAAAAGAAAAGAAAAAAGTAATTATTTAACAACATTAACCAATTATTCTTTTACATACAAAAAAAAAAGACAACAAAAATAAATCATAAGCTAGTTTAATTTCAGCTCTGATTTTCTTTAGAAAATTAGTCCTACTTGAGCTTCAAACATTATATATTATCATAGAATTTATTGCATTAAAAAGAGACCAAAAAAATCTGTCTTTACCAGAGCTATCCTCCAGGATCGTTCATTGGTCATAAACCAAGAATGACCAAACTTCTATTTACATGTGTGGCTGTGAAACCCACAGGAAACCTGTAAGAATGCACTCCTGTCCATAGAGACTATAGAGAACTTTCAAACAGTTTAAAGCAAGACTTGATGCAGCACATCATGACAGTTATGACTTTTGTTGACAGTCTTAACATTAAAAGCTACAGATGAGTACTGGAATAAAAATATCTTGATTCAATACAGGCTTCAGACTTCTTTCTGAAGCTGCTGTATTATGAACAAGCCTGACCGAGGATCACAGTGCAAGGAGGGGACACACAAGTTTTTCATTCTAAGTAGATTTTCTGAAGCAATGTAGACATTCCTCTGCTCCCAGCTATCACTCAACCCTGTAAAGGCATCATCTGAAGCAAGGTATAATAATTATTACATAACCAAACTCTGAAGTTCTGCATGGCCAATATCAAACATGTACATACCTTTCAATAAAATAGTCATTAATTTATGAATATTATATAATTACTACTAATTGTTAAAATAACTATTCAACTGAAAGCTTAAATAATTTTTCCTTACTTTTATATCTTGCTGACCATATTTTTTTACTTTGTGAATATCTGAAAAAGGGTATTTTCCCTGAGTACAAGGATCTGTTGTCTTGTCTGATGCATGATCACCTGAACCAGTGAGATCTGTCCAAATTCAAGAATGGAAGCACGAAATTCATTGAAATAACATTTTTTCTACCTATGTCTAATATACTGTAAACATCTAGAGTTTGAATCTTCTTTCATTGTGTACAGGTGTTGCAAGGTGAAATAAGCTATTAAATTCATATCAATGAGGTAGGAATCTCACCATCACAAGAAATTATAGTGGTGAATAGAACTTGTGGATTGTTATCTGACAATATACCCCAAACTATGATTAGCAGTGATCCCAAGGCCCATTTTTCTCTGAATTAAGATAGTGGGAATCAAATTATTATGCACATTCTGCCCTACCTGCTGGAATATTCCCAGCTGCACACAATCATGGTTTCAATCTAAATCACATCTGCTCCATCATTTATTATGAATCCATTCAAGGAAAGTCTTCATTTTTTAAAAAACCAAAATTTTAAAGAGTGCTGAGTGTTCTAAGAACACAGAGCTTATAATTTTGGCCAAAAATTTTGCTTTTTCCCAAACCAGTTTTAAACACCACTATTCACTTTTAAATAATTTAAAGTCAAGTATTCATGGTAATGTTTTACACTGCATTCTGTGCAATCATTTCTATAGTAACAGCATCCTCAAAGCCACTATTAAATACAGGTATCTCTTAAAAAAAAAAAAGAAAGAAAGAAAACGGCAATAAAAATTAATAAAAAGCAAACAATCTATAAATAACAGCAGAAAGAAAAGAAGAAAAAAACAACCTCAAAAAAGCCACAGGACTAAAGAGATTTATCCTGTAGCAGGAGTTTTGGGTTGCAGAATGCTGAGATGGCCACTTAATGCTGGAAATGAATTTTTAAAAACTAAACTTGTAATCCATTTGGGACTCTATAAACACTCTTCTCATTCCTTCAAGTTTCACAAAGCACACAAGGACTTTGTAAAACTTAAAGGATTTTCATCTTCCTTTTCATATAGCAAGTCTTGAGTTACGACTTTCAGTCACTGCCTCCTACCCAAAGGAGTCCTGTAGAGCAAACCCAGCAGAACACTGTATCAGCCTTGCATTTCAGGTATAGCCAACCCTTTCTTAATCATCACTGTGCTGCCTAAATGTTACAGAGATTCTGGGTGAGACCTTTCAAAACACTTAAGGCTTTTAAATGTTCTGTGACAGTTCATGTAACTGCCACTAAAATGCAAATATCTGTATTTTGCAAGCAGCTCCAGATTCCCAGGCAATGCCAAACAGTGAGATATGTATGTATGCAAGACTACAACATTACCCTTCTGTTATATATGTATATATATACACATCTGATTTTAAATCAAGGCTTATTTTCTCTTCTATTGCCTTGAAACACATACCTAACATGATACATAATGTCTCAAAGAATCACAGAAAGGGTATCAGAAGAGAATGGAACACTGAAGTCCATTTCTTTTTCCTGCTAGCAGAGAAACACATTTTTCCTTTGCTAAGTGGCAGAGGAGTTGAGCTGAAATTGAAACTATCAAGTGTGTGGAAAAAGCAGACCCTGAACCAATCATGTTGAAGAAAAACCAAAGAAATAGAATTTAACAAACCCCAAACTCCTGTATGCTATATGGTAATTCTCAGATGCAAGATTTTTGCTGTATTCCCATCTAAACACTGTGGAGTGTAACCTGGTTATTCAGATTCTGGATGACAATTACTGAGTTTGCTCTAGTGTTCCCCAGATTGCCAGGGGAGGTAATGTCTGTTTTAGAGACCTTATAGGCTAAGAGGGGTGTCACAAACATAGACCCATACCCCAAATTCACAGCAACAAAAATCAGGAGGGAAAAGCATGTAAGTGGTATGTGAATTACTGCCTTTCTTAACTAGGCCATGGCAAGAAGTTTGCTTCCTTTGTTTATTACTTGAACGTATTTGCCAAAACATAGCAATTGCTACACATCTATTATAACCCTTCTGTACAGAAGGAAAGAATCCTTTAATTTATAATAGCTTGCTGTTTGTAGAAGATTGAGAAATGTGAACTCATATGCTAACAGTTATACTGACTAAGCACTTACTAACAAATTAAAAATAAACACCAATCTGATTAAAGGAAAGAGGGGGAAATACATGGAATAGTTGCTGCATACCCCTAAATCTTTCATAAAAAAAAGGAACAGAGAAAATCCAGCCCCAGATTTAAACAAAAGTGTAGAATGCCTTTGTGAGGCAAGAGTCAGGGAAATTGCAGATAAAATCCATCTAAGGAAAAGTAAAAATGTTTTGATTGATTCCAAGATGCTCTAGAAGAGCTTTGACTGCAGTCAAAGTTCAGGCATCCATAATAAATACAAAAAGAAAAAAAAGAAAAAGAAAAAAATGAGAGTTTTGATAAGGGTGTAACAGCATAATATTACTGCAGGCAAGCACCAACTCTGAGAAACACTTTCCCAAACATGCTCATCTTCCAGGCCCCAGCATACACAACAAAGGAATAATAATCCAAGGGGTGGCACTGTTCCCCCTGCAACTCCAAAACTGCGTTATTGGACAAAAAAGGGAAAACAAAAAGGCTGGTCCATGAGACAAGAGGGCTACAGTTAATAATGAAGGGACTCTAGAGCAGGAACTTCAGTCTCATACCCTGTAACACTTGAACATTCTGTGAAAGATGAAACAGAACTCTTTGAAGTTTCAAAGGCAAATTCTTGCTTATACAAGATTAAATTATCCAAACATAATTAATACAAAATAGCATAGAACTCAAGAGGCAAAGCAGAAAATCAAAAAGGAATAATAATCCCTTTTTATTTTCCTCCAAATTAAGTATTAAATTAGGAAGTATTCAGTGAAAAAAAACAAAAAAAACCTTTCAGAATTCTGCAACCCCTAACACCTCAGGGCAACAGAGTTCTTATTTTTTCTGACAACAATCTGTTCTGTCCTTCAAAAATGCTTCTTTCAAACTCGTATTCTAGGGTTACTTATTCAACCCATAGGCTACTGTGATCCTTAGAATATACTAGATTTTTAGTTATTAATATTTTCTGAAATTCATTTAGTTTTCATTTCTACATTCACACAGTGGATTCTGTTAATAAGATATTGAGTTTTATCAACTATGATTTTAAAATAAAATTCTATTAGTTTTTATATTTATAATTAGTTATGGAGAACACTAATTATTTCCTATATACATAAAGCTAAAACCTCAATGATCCATTAAACTTTTGTTACACAAACATTTGCACTACTAAGATGTGAATAGCCTGATGTTTTGATCTAACTTGGATGAAAATTCTCATATCTTAAATATTAACCCCAAATGTCCTTTAACCATCAAATAAGAAATCAATTGTAGTTCTTTTACAGACAGACAGAATTTGCTTGTCCAGATTTGTTAGGAATGAAAACCATAAAAACCTAAGGATACACCTGCTTCAAATTACATTTCAGAAGTTCGCAATTACTTCTAGCTTGACAATTCCAGCATTACTTTGCAGACTCTAGGAGATGTATCCACATCTCTGCAATTATTGCAATTTAATAAAAGTAAGACCTTCTTGACCATGGAAGATCCAGAATAGCTTATCTCTAGGAGATGTATCCACATCTCTGCAATTATTGCAATTTAATAAAAGACCTTCTTGACCATAGAAGATCCAGAATAGCTTACCGAAAATTGCCAACTCTTAGTTACTTAGTTAATTGTTGCAATTTAATAAAAGTAAGACCTTCTTGACCATGGAAGATCCAGAATAGCTTATCGAAAATTGCCAACTCTTAGTTACTTAGTTAAGTTAATTTCTAACTTAGTTACTCAATTGCTAACTCTTAGTTACCAACTCTTAGTTTTCAGCTTGAAGCTATTAAAACACTAAATCCAAACTTTGCAATTTTTATAGCCACATTAAAAACTTGTCAGAAACTCAGACTTGAAAATCTTCTACAAGATTTTACATGCAAGTAATTTCCATTCAGTTACATTTTATGATTTTGGTTTTTGTTTACTGCTATTACACAAAAAGGAGTTAAGTAAAAAGTTAATCAGCTATTAAATTTTACGGTAATTAATTTAGTCATCAGCACACAGTAAAAACAGTACTGTAAATTTTGGCAGATTTACAAGATTTTTTGCT